GGAATGAACTTCAAAAATAGAATGAAACTTCATCGATATTTTCATCCCGCTGAGATAGATGGAGAGATTGCAAACTATTTTCAACATCTAAATTCTTTGATTTGTAAGGGATATAAAAATACACCTCAAATTCAATCTTCTGTTATAAGGTAAGATTTTTATTATGCAAATCTCTTTTAATATCTCTATAATCAGGATCCAAATGTTAGGTTGTTAAGATATTATATAGTATCCAGTAGTTGATTTGACATTTCTCTAAAGAGTTTGGCTTAAATTTAAATTAGTGTTTTTAATCCCTTATGTAGGCATTTTACTATTTTAGGTTTTTTAAATTGGAAGAATGTAGAAAATAAACATGTTAGTAATAACCTATGTGCTTGTAAATGTTATTAATAAAAACTCTAAAAATAAACATGTCATATCCATCAAATTTGACATCAACTATTCTAGATTCACCCAAAAACAGAGAGAGAGAGAGAGAGAGAGAGAGAGAGAGAGAGAGAGAGAGAGAGAGAGAGAGAGAGAGAGAGAGAGAGAGAGAGAGAGAGAGAGAGAGAGAGAGAGAGAGAGAGAGAGAGAGACTCATAAGACTCTTTTCTTAATATTTTTGTGATCTTGATGCCTTTCGTCATGTCTAATTATATATATTTTTTAAATTCATTATCAAATTATGGTGAAATTTCAAAATTCATAGAAGTTTTTTTTTTTTTTCCTTGATGTTGAGACTTGAGTTATGCCTCAATCAAACTCCATCCACGAGTGGAGGATGAGGAGTGGGTTGGCTTTGTTCTCATTGGAAAGTTAGAAATTCTAAGTTTGGGGGGAATTTGAAGGTTGGTTATGCACTTCATGCTCTGTTTGACCTTGATCAAATTTTTTTGGTTTTTGGTTTCATTTTTTAAGTAAATCATTTACTTGCTCTTTTTCCAAAAAAAAAAGGTCAGAGGGATTATTCAGTGTTGGCTCTTTTAAAATATTTTAGTAGATCAAAACTCATTTTTGTAATTAGAAACATACATTAAGAAGTGTCTTCAATTTTTCTATAAATTCATGTTATGATAAACAATATCAAATTAACTATTATACTTAATCTCTTAATGCTATATATAGTTAACTACACCCGAATAAAGTCTTGAACATTGATTTCTTTTCAAATGATACATCTTCTAAATTAACATTCATTTTTTTTTTTTTAATTTTATGATCAAGTGCCTTAGAAAGTTGCGGCAAAATGATTGAATTATTGCGCAGCAAGAGTGAATTACACCAAATTGAGGGCATCCCCATACTTATTAGGCTTCTAATCTAATTAGAGCAGTCAGTTCAACCCTTTGTAGCAGAAGTGATAATGGAAACACACTCATGAAACTCCTACACTACTTTGAGAGCATGAGATTAGTCCCTAGCTATCACAGCCTTAACAACATAATTGCTTGCAAGGGCAAGTTTCTAACTATCTCATGAGATTAGACAATTATAGAGAAAACTTTTGAGATTTAATCTTTGATAAATACTTCAATCTTTTAATACTCCGATGATTGGAATGGTGATATAATGCTTCAATATTAGGCAAAGTTTATCTAATCCATATGTAATACTAACCGAGAAAGCTCTTCCATATCATCTGCTTATAGACTGTGAACTACAATACGAAGCTAAACACCAAGTCAATCTTCTATCTCGCTGCTTTTTTTTATGAAGCTCTCTGAATCTACTAACTCAAGCTTTCATTAAGGCATTCTCTGACTTGAAGCATTTCATCCCCCGCCCAGTTGACAATAAGGAAACAAAGTTACCAAGAAATCTGCACTGTGGCCCAAAGCAACATTGATGTTCAACAAATCAAGAAGAGAAAAATACTTGCTGAGTTCATCAATCAATCACATTATCATTGTCTTTTGGTTACAACAAATAAGTTCTTACTATTTGTAAAATGACTATTTCGTACGCATACGGCATACCTACATGAATCAATTACATGTATAAACAAATTTTAGGGAATTGTTGTTATGCTGTGAGGAACTCTCATTTGTATAATTAGTTCTTTTCAAAAGTTGAAAACTTAATTTCAGTATCATAAGGTTTGGAAAATTGTGAAAAATAATCCTTACTGCAATTAGTTCAAGAAAAACAATGGTAACCATAGTTTGCAAACTCGCGATCCTGGATCGTAGGATCGGACAATCCTACGATTCCAGGTACCTAAATCGATCCTAGATCGATAAACTGGAACTTTGCAGTGAGATCGGAGTGGGATCGGTTAGGATCAGTTAGGATCGTACAAGACCGGTCAGGATCGTAGATCGGTCCGAATTTACTATTCATCAATTACAAAAAATTAATTGAGCTTATTGAGATTTTTTTTTCTCTTACTTTTTTGGTTCACATTAAATTTAGGCAAATATTCTTTGAGGAAACTTTTATTGCTAAGAAAAATATATTTTAGAAAGTTTTTCTAATAAAATGAAAAGAAGAACTATAAGAGAAGAGTTTTTCTTAAAAAGTTACGAAAAAATTCATATAAGAAAATTGAATTTACACAATTCTTTTTTGTTTAGCTGTTAAATACTTCATGTAAAAATAATTGAAACCTAATTATCAAAGCAATTAATTATATAATATGTATAATTAATTTTACGATTCTACTATTCCGATCCTACCGATCCCATTTACGATCCGATCCTATGAACCCATTTCGATCCTACGTAGGATTACGATCCTGCAAACATTGATGGTAACCATTGTTTTGGCCTTTCCTAACATCTTGAATTACATTGTACCAGTGAAAGCAGTTCAAATTGTCATTGCTCCAACTGAAATCAATACCGATATATTATCACTTCCACAATCATCAAATGCATATTTCAAAGCTCCAATTTTTCAGGTGAGTGTACCCATCAACTTCTTTACGGAAGTGTATCCATCGTTGCCTTGAAGGAAATATGAGTGGACATTCATCCACGTGACTGATTGTATTCCTTAACCTCAATGTCGTTGTATTCCTTGTGTTGGGTTGATCTGTAAACTGAAATTTGCCATGGCCCTTACAACAGATCAGAACATACGCTTGTCACCAATACTTAATCGGGATAATGGTCTAGACAGATTGAAAATTTGAAGAGAGGTTAAATAAACAACATTTCCCTTGGCATCAACCAATAGAGCTTCAAGACAGACTACATCTTTGTATTTTCCATTAGTTGGTTTCCAACTGTGGAGTACACGAACATTCACTTTCCAATTCGACTTGATCCTTGTAGAGGTGCGATCTTCTAACAAATCGAATTGATGATCGAAGGCCATAGGACATTCAGTTGGACAGTGCGATGAATCTTGATTGAATTTGTTTGGAATATTGTTACGAATCAAACGTGAAACTGAATTGTGTGTATTTATAGGATGAGTGAGACGTAATGAATAATAACCTGAGCCTATAATCTTCAACTTTGCAAATCGAAAACCGTTGGATATCTTCTGATCAGATTTGTTGAGATCATGTATCAGATAGACAACATACTGTAATTAATTTGAAGTTCAAATAAGATTATAGTTGAGATTTGATATCCTCCATCAACCACTTTATCAGTAAAGGAATGTGATATCAGAGTTCTAGTGGAATTCAAATTTGGATGGCAAATTCTTTGTCTAACAAAACAATGCAAAATTTTCTGAGCCTTGGGATTTTTTTTGGATTCATTTACATGTCAATAAAAATTAAAAAAATTGCCACATATGATTAATCCTATGTGGCATAGGGAAAATGAATAAGGCTTTCTCTTTCTGGTTTTTGCCTTAGTATAGTATATAGATTAATCTTTTTATTAAAACTTGGAAGAATTTGTATCATGGTAAATATTAGTGCGCTACTTTTCATTTCATGTTGTTGACCGTTTGTAGCATTAACAGGATATGTTTGGTATTTATTTTTGACATACTCTGGCGCCTGGTAAATATCGATGGCTTAGCTTGGCCAATTTATGTCAACCCTAGACTCTGGTAATGCAGCCTCACATAGTTTATTATATATACCCATAAGTTCAATTTTTCAGATTTTTCCTTGTATCGATGCAGAGGTCAGCAAGTCAAGATTCTTTTTTTTTTTTTTGGAGTTGTCATATATGAAACACAATCAAAATTTTGCATTATGATATTTCTGAGAAGTAGATTTTTTCTAAAGCTATCTAATGCACTCCTCAAATAGGTATGCTTTGGGTGGATATAGTGGAGATGCAATTACTTTAATTGTTGAGGTTTTTTAACCCCGGGTTTGTTCTTCGATGGTGGGAGAACCAATGCAATATGCTAGGGCATGTTCTGCTGGTGTGGTGAAGGAAAGATATATGCCATTGGTGGGATGGAGAGCAAGGAGGAAACTTTAGACTCAGTGAGTTCAATTTTCAGATTGAATACAATGACAACACAGGATCTATGTATAGCCTCGACTCACAAAGTGGGACAAAGGCTAAATAACTATTGTTGTATTGGTGGACTTGAATATTTTGTCAGTGTTTTATTCTATATCATTGATCATATCTTCTATATCATCACAGGTTGAGTACTACTAGGAGGGCTGTGGATGGACAATGACCAACTTGAAAGCTCTGGGGAAAAGAAGCTTCTGCTCTGCTCTTGTGCTATGAATATTGCTCTCGTAAGCTGTCAATACTAGGTAGGTTTGTTTTGCGGCTATTAATACTATGCAATACTATCAGTGGAGTAGTATGGTGCTATTTTTGAGGAGATAGTAATATGTTCTTTGTTTAAAGTCTCTGTAAGAGAACTTCATCAAATGAGTGCACGTATATTTAGAATTCTCCTCCACAAGAGTTTGAGGATAATAGGTTTCACCTCTGTTGTGTTTGATAGGTAGGTTCGTTTTGCAGCTATTAGAACTATGTGATATCGTCAGTGGAGTAGTATACTACTATTTTGTTTAGGAGATAGTATGTTTGTTGCTCTCTCTCCTTGCTCTCAGTGCACGCTTCTAACGTGTGCCTGCCATGGCTAGCAGGAAGAAGAAAGGAAAAGTGCAGACGAAACCACGCACTGCTACGCAATCTCCAAATGAATTTCTTGGCTCTACAAGTACTCAAAGGGTAGAAGGAACAAAGGGGAAATCTAATGGAAATCGCACGATTCTACAGCAAGAAAAGGAGTTGACTCGTTTAGTAGCCGCGATTGAAGAAGGTGCAAAGTGGAAGGATGTGAGTAAAGGGTTGAATTCTAAAGACGTGATGACAGCCAAAGTTGTTGGGGAGAGCCCTAGTTTCAGTGAAGGTTACAGATCTGGCCAATCAAAGGGAGTTCTAGAACCTAGGGTTCCAGCGATGTTTGCAAGACGACAATTGGAGTGGTCCGAAAAAAAATGAAAACCCAGCGCCTACAAGAAATTGGAATCAATTTGATCTTGATAAGCTGAGACAACGTATGGGAGAACTTCAATATGTTCAACCCAAAACAATTGATGGACAAAAGATTGGCAAAATACAGAACGAGTTTGTTACCAAGGAAGCAGAATACTGGGAGCCTTCAGTGGTGTGTTTCGTGTTGGGAGCTCACCCCCCACTATGGACCATGGAGGCTTATATCCAGAAAATTTGGGGCAAATTGGGTGTTGATAAGGTACTGATACTTCCCAGTGGCTTATTTCTGGTTCGCTTCAATTCATTGGCTGCTAGAGATTCTGCTTTGAGTGTTAATATTTACCACTATAGTTCTAAGCCATTTATTGTTAAATCTTGGAGTGTGGATAAAGGAGTTAACTATAGTGAGGTAGAAAAGGTAGAAAAGGTCCCTGTGTGGATTCAGATGCATGGGTTAGAACTGAAATATTAGGGAATGGACTCACTGAGTAGTATGGTTAGTGCTATTGGTAAACCTATACGTGCTGATGAATGCACAGTTAGCAAGAAGAGGGTCCAATATGCTAGGGTGTTAGTTGAAATGGAAGTAGCTGAAACAGTGCCTGATAAATTGATATTTGAAGACGAAAAGGGTTGTATTCGAACACAGAAAATAGTGTATGAATGGATTCCTGCTAAATGTTCAAAGTGTTTGGGATATGGGCATTTGACTGAACATTGTAGGAAACCAACTGAGATAGCAAAACCAAAAGAGAAGCCCACTACCCTTGTTTGGTCAAAAGTAGTAAAAGGGAAAGGTAAAGAGCAGGTCCTAGACAATCCAGCAAATACCAATGCTACTAAGGGAGATACTGCTGGGATTCCTACACCTGAGGGATCCTACGATTCTCGACTACTAATGGTATTAAGTTGATGACTAGAGGAGTGGAGATAACTGCTAAGGGTAGTCAAGGGAGTATAGCAGAGGTTTCTAGTGTCAAAGCTAAGGAAGTAATTGCTGGACAGGATTCTTCCGATAAAGGTGCTGGTTGCTCAGATGACACAGAAACTAAAAGTTGTAGACAAGGGAATGATGAGGATGAGGGCTATGATCCGGGACCTGGTTATAATGTGTAGCGTTATCTCGTGGAATATAAGGGGTTTGAACTCACCCCTGAAACAAAAGGAAGTTCAAAGATCGATAACAATAAATAAGTATGATATAGTTTGTCTCATAGAGACAAAGCTGAACAAAGAAAGGGGTGAATAGTACCGTAAGTAGTTCTGGTCCGGATGGAGTTGGCTGAGTAATTATCAGAGCCATGAAAGCGGGAGAATTATGCTATGGTGGAATTGTGAAGTCATAGTCCTTGAAGTACGACAAAGTGATCAGTTTCTTCACTGTTTATGTTCTACTAAAGCAGATTCTGGAAGTTTTTTTTGACTGCTATTTATGCCTCCAATGATCCAAAGGAGAGGTCTAAGTTGTGGTCAGATTTAATGGAACTGGCACAAAGCATCAATGGTCCTTGGATGCTTATTGGAGACTTTAATAATGCATTAAGTCCAGAGGATAAATTAGGGGGGAAACCTGTCTGTTTATAGGATTTTGAAGAGTTTCAGGTGTGTTTGGAAGCATGTGAAATCAGGGACATGAGACAAACTAGAAAATGGTTCACCTAGTGTAACCAAAGGCTTGGTGCAGAAGGAATATATGCGAAGCTGAATAGGGTTCTGATCAATGGTGATTGGATGGATTGCTGTTCTGATACATTGGTCTCAGTATTACAAGAAGGTATTTCTGATCATGCCCCGTTGGTTGTAACAATGAGACAGGATCAATCAAGGAAGAGTAAACCATTTCGGTTTTTTAATATGGGGAGCTTGAAGCCGCAAATTTTGCAAATAGTTCAACAGAGTTGGAAAGAACCTGTTTTTGGTACCCTAAATGTTCCAAGTATGTTAGAAGCTGAAACGGTTGAAACCAGAGTTGAAGAAGGTTAACAGAGAACACTTTTATGATATAGTAGAGCAAGCACAAAAAGAAGAGCTTCAATTGAAAGCTTTACTAGAAGCTGTTAGTCTGGATCCAGCTAATGAAGAGCTTCAATGTTAGGAAAGAGACTTGTATGCAAAGTATGTTGTCACAAGAAGTGCAACTGATAGTTTTTTGAAGCAGAAGAGAAAGGAGAGATAGATAGCTGAAGGAGATAAAAATTTCAGATTTTTCCATTCTTTGATTAAAATCAAAACAGCCAGGAACAAGATATGGTCAATAGTGGATGATCAGGGCAGAGAAGTAACTTAAAAGCAAGAAATTGAAGCTCATTTCATTCAGTTTTTTCAAAGGTTGTTGGTTCAAAATGCTAGAAGGAAAAAGCTAATATGGAAATATTTCAGTTGGGGCCAAGGTTGAGAGTTAAACAACAAATATTGCTTATCAGGCCAATCAGTAAGGAAGAAATCAAGGCCGCTATGTGGGCTATGGATGTTAATAAAAGTCCGGGCCTAACGGATATGGTGTAGGGTTCTTCAAAGTGGCGTGGGACGTGGTAGGAGATGATGTGACTGCAACAGTTCAAGAGTTTTTCCGCACTATCCAGGTATTAAAGCAGTTAAATTCCACTCTTAGTGCTTTAATTCCAAAAGTTGATTCTCCTCTGGATGCTAGTCAGTGTAGGCCCATTTCTTGTTGTAACGTAGTTTATAAATGCATTTCTAAGATCATCTGTAATAGAATGAAAGATATATTGGCTGAACTGATAGATGAGAACCAAAATGCATTTGTAAAAGGGAGGCTGATCTTGCATAATGTACTTATTACCCAAGAGTTGATTAGGCTGTATAGGCGTAAGGGGATTAGTAGTAGAATGCTGATGAAGATTGACTTAAAAAAGCATATGATATGGTTGAGTGGGGTTTGTAGAAGAAATGTTAGAGGGGTTTGGATTCCTAGAGGAGTTTAGAATATGGATTATGAATTGTGTGACAACCACTAGCTTTTCGATAGCCATAAATGGAAACCCTAGTGGTTTTTTGTGTGGAAAGAGGGGTTTACGGCAAGGGGATCCTATTTCTCCCCTTCTGTTTGTTTTGGTGATGGAATTTTTGACACGAAGCTTGAAAAGATAACTTCATCTGAGTTTCAATTCCATCCTATGTGTCGAGACTTGCAGCTTACAAACATCTATTTCGCAGACGATCTAATGATCTTCTACAAAGCATATGGTATGACAGTTAGAAATATCATGAAGGTATTGAATGCATTCACTGAGACCACATGGGCTTGAAGCAAATCCTCAAAAATCCTCAGTTTATTTTGGTGGTGTAGCTCAGGAAGTACAGAATGATCTTTGTAGGATAACTAAGTTTCAGCCTGGTAGTTTGCCTATAAAGTATCTTGGAGTAGCTATGTCACCGAAGAAATAAAATATTTGCAAGGGTAAAATGCTAGAGTACGAGGCATTTATCATATGCTGGTCGCTTGTGTTTGGTTAATTCGGTCCTTATGTCTATGCATGTGTACTGGGGCACAATCTTCCTTCTGTAACAAAGTGTAGCTAATCAAGTTAATAGAATTTGCCGTGAATTTCTATGGATTGGAACCCTAGGAGGCAGGAAAATCTCGCTGGTTAGTTGGGAAGAAGTTTGTAAGAGGAAAAGTGCAGGTGGATTGGGAGTAAGAGATGCGAAACAATTGAACAAGGCATTTAGCTTCCCAAAACAGGTTTGGCAGTAGCAAAACAGGTTTGGCATTTAGCTTCCCAAAAGGAGTCATTGTGGGTGAAATGGGTCCATGGGATTTATATAAAGGAGGAGTATTTTTGGGAGGTGCAGGCAAAAAATGATTCGAGCTGGCAGTGGAAGTAATTGCTAAAGCTCCGGGATCAGTTTCGAGAAGGGTTTGATGGTTGAAGATGGATAGCTAATAGTAATGGAGAATATACCATCAGTTCTGGGTACCAATGGCTTACGGATGGCAGAACCAAAATTTCGGAAACTCAGTGTATTTGGGCTAGTAGAAATATCCCTAAACATGCATTTATTGCTTGGTTGGGATGGAAGAAGCGTCTTCTTACAAAGGACAGGTTGATAGCTATGCATATGGTGATTTCAGATGCGAACTGTCTGCTTTGTAAACAGGTTGCTAAAATAAGTGGTCATCTTTTTTTTTTAGAATGTGTTTACTCTGAAAACCTATTGAACCTAGTGGTGAAGTGGCTTGGTTGTAGAAAGCTTTCAGTGTTAGAAACCAGATGGAGGGTTCAATTGTTGAAGATGTGGCATAAGTGTAAACTCAAAAGGCAGATTCTACTGGCAGCTCTGATGGCTTGTGTATATCATTTGTGGGAAGAGCGTAATAGGAGACACTTCACAGGCCAAGAGAGGAAGCCGGATGAGTTGTTGGTGGTAATTAAGAGGGAACTCAAGTGCAGGTTTTTGATATGTCAGAGAAGCAAGCAAACCAGAGCAGAAAGTTAGATTTTGAAGCATTATTTTCTTGGTTAATTTTAGTAGCTGTTTGTATATATGTATCTTTTGGCTAGCTGTGGTAGAGTAGATCGTTGAGATGGCTACTGCCATTAGTAGTTTTGTAGCAAGCATAAGTGATCTGTAAGTTTGATGAACTTCATTGCCAATTGGTGATTTTGTGAATATAAATTTACCTTTTCACCAAAAAAAAAAAAGAAAGAGAACTTCATCAAATCAGTGGATATATATTTAGAATTCCACTCCACAAGAGTTTGAGCATAATAGGTGTTTCACTTATGTTTGATTGTTTATCACTTTACTGGTAATGGAGGAGATAACATAGGTAAAATTGGTAATTGGTTCTCCTTTTCTGCTGTTCTATGTTTTGCTGTGGCCTTCTTCACCAAAATGGTGGCATTCTACCATTACAAGGTTTTAATCAATCATCCTTCTATTCAGTATCCTGGTCAGCCGGTTGGTTTTTTTGCTAAGGCCTTATCTCACTCAGTTACTGGATTGTTATCTCTGCTTATTGCAACATCGGATGATAAGAGTTTCTCAGCCATCGTTGTTTTGGTACTCGCGTCAGTCAGTATATGTATGTGGAAGGTTTATTTTTTGGCCACAGTAGAACTGGGGGCGCTTAATCTCTTTACTCTTGGTTGGATGACCCAGATTTGGGTATTTAATGACCATAAGTTTTGTAGCTGGGGTGTCCTTAGTGGCTTTGGGTTTGCAATTGTGGGATTTTACATAAAGTTTTAATTGAATGCCATCATTTCAACAAAGAGAAATCAGATTATAGCCCTTAGGGCTGCGAGTTCTGAAGAAATTGCCCGAGCAGAAGACGCTGTCAGAGGTCTCCAGCTTGCTATTCAAGAAGCTGTAGCACGAGGAGTCCTTTCTGGAGGTCAAAGCGACAATGTTTGATGTGTTTAGATAAGATTTAGATTAAGTTTGATTAGGAGATACATAAAATTATTTCTGTAGTCAAAAGAATACTTCATTTTAAAGTATTGACATAGGGGTGTATTTGAGCCGAGTGAGCTGAGTAGTGGTATACTTGAACTTGAACTCGAATATGTTTGGTTCGACTCAAACTCGAGCTCGAACTCGACGAGTATGAATTTTCATGCTCGAGCTTGGCTCGATACAAATTGCATGAGCTCGAACTCGGCTCAAGTTCGACTCGATAGCTGAATTTTTCATCTCAAATTTTTCCAAATATTTGCAAAAAAATTATTTTTTCAATGGAACTCAGAACAGCAGAAGTTTACAAGAATCATTAGAACAAAATGATTACTTTTTGAGGTGTTAGGTTTTTTTCCTTACTACTAGTTCGTTGTAGTCATGTGTTGTGCGACCAGTCCGTATAATATATTGTAAATTAATTTTGAAATTGATAATTTTATAACAAAATGTAATTTGTTACAATTTTATGACGAATAATGGAATTTCTTTAAATTCTTCTATCATATTTGCTTTTATAGTACAAAATTTTAGAAAATATGGAGTATCTTTGTCCCAAGTCTCATACAATTCCTATTCTTTTGGGATAACCTATACTACACGAAATAATTTCTCCTTGAAAACATCGACCAAACTTAAAAACTCAATGTTAATTAAGTAAATATCGCTTAATTTTTTCCCAACCTCTATATTACTGGAATGAACTAAACAATTCCTTCCTTCAAATTATATAGGAAGAACTCAAATTACAGCTAAAGTAGTCATAACCTCCATTTGCTATAATATATAACACAATCATATATGCTTATCCCTGCCTACAATAAAACAAACTTCAGAAACGGCCAAGAAAAAAAAAACCAAGGAAAATGTAATTGATGATTGCAATTACAGTTCATTATCTCAACCTTGACAGTTTTATTGTTAACCACCTTCGTTAGATTGTGCACATCAAATTGTGTAAAGAAAATATTTATCAGACAGACATCGAGACAATATGATTTAGTTCTTTATTCTCAGCAATGAATCTTGGTTTCTCTAAGGTTATGATGAACATGTAGATAATATGTATCAAATAAAGGAGAGTTGATAAATTAGAGGAGATATGAAAGAAGAAATTATTTTTGATTTGGATAGGGGCAAATTAGAAAGAAAGATAACAATTTGTTTTAGATCCTAATTTTTGTTCTGGCAATAACAATACTAAAAATAATATTATGTGTGCCAGCTATTCTTTGAATAGCCAATACCAATGCACTTTTTTAAGCATGTGGATAATCTAATTTTAACCTTTTTATCACTTGGAATGTGATTGGACATTATGTGTAATTGTGTATATTACACTAGTACAATTTTGACACTCATGATTGACGCTTATTTTTGTAATTAATATTAGATCTCTTATGAAATGAATAACTGTAATGAATAATTAATTAAAGAAGTATCCCAAAAATTAACACAACAAAGTGTTACATAACCCTTAGCGTATTACATTAAAACCTATTTGGATTTTTTTTGTTTTTCATTTCGATAATACAAGTGAAGTTAACCTAAGATGCGAAAGAAAAAAAAAATTATAATAGTAAACATGTAAAGGAATTAAGGTATGTAAACACGAGTTCATGGTTGTTTATGTGGATTTGAACGCTTTAAAAATTCCTCCGCTTGATTGAACTAAATAAAAATACCGGATATTTTATGAGATAGATGGAGTATAAAGTCAAGAAATTACGCAGGATGTAATAACATGTGTTATTACTTATATTAGGAGTATTATTTAAAAATCTAAAACTTTGAGGGTCATATATTAAATACTATAGGGGCTATTTTATAAATAACCTTAAAATTAACGGTCAAACTAAAACCCGCGACCTCCAAAACCCCAAAACCCAATCACAATTCCCCCAGAATCCCCTTTTCTTATTATTACCGCAAATAGTTTCTCAAGATTAACAATCGATGGGTTACTCAAAAGACCAACTGATAGCTCGTTTGAAGGTGAGTAACTTGAATCTTCTCCTGAATCAGTGTTAGTTTCAGTTAATTTTTTTTAGTGTTTTGTGCGTGTTGGTTTTTGTCATTGTAATCTGAACATATTCGTTCGATTGTTTGATCTTTAGGAGCTTCAAATTGATTTCGGACTATATGAGCATCCTGCTGTTTTGACTGTTGATGAGCAGGTGGGTTATACTCTCAAAATCCCTTTTGGTTTATGTAAGTATTCGTGAATTTTTGTTGAATTTTGGATCTTTATCTACTGTTATTCCTGTTCAATTAGGCGAAATATGTGGGACATTTGGATGGTGCATTGAGTAAAAATCTGTTCTTAAAGGTATGGTATCACCATTGCTTTGTTACTTTTCTTTTCTCGATTTTTTTTGGTACACTATTGATTGTTCGTGCTTTTCCCTGGAACAGGATAAAAAGCATAGGTATTATGTTGTTTCTGCATTGGAAGGCACCAAAGTAGACATGAAAAGTATGCATAGTTCTTCGGTTTTTGTAAATTTTTAATGTAATGGCTAGTAAGTTAAAACCTTGGCTTGGTTGTGATATTTTGTTGGTGTTAATGCAAGCTTTATTTGGTGCTGAAACTGAACAGTTCTATCTCAGAGGCTTGGACTAGGAAAGGGAGGCTTGCGTTTTGCTCCTGAAGAAGCACTTGCAGAGATACTTCAGGTGCCAAATCTTTTACAAAAAATTGCTACTGCTTATAATTAGCTTTGCATATTGTTTAAGTTTCTCATTTTCCCAAATTTGATATTAATATTTCTATATATTTTTTTGCAAAGGTGCCTCTGGGATGTGTTACTCCATTTGCACTTCTTAATGAGTCAGCCAGGTTGTATCATAATTGATAATCATTTATTATTCCTATTATTATTGACGTTTCTTGAGTTTCGATTAGTTGATTGAATATCAAATTGTGATGGTATTCTTTTCCATTGTGAAGGGATGTTTCTTTATTGTTGGACCAAGGGTTGAGAACAAAGGAGTGCTGCTTCTTTCACCCATTGTCTAATGATGTGACCATATGTAAGTGACTGGGTCTCAGCTTTGCGAAACTCTATTGGTTTTCCTCACGGTGTGTGTGCGAGTTGCATAGTGTGTTTATTGGCTCATGTATGTATGAAACTTATGCCTTCTTGTAAATGGGAAGACAAGTTAAAGTCACTTTGTTATGTAACATCACGTTTTAAATCTGTTAAGAAAATATGATCCTGCGATTGGATCCGTCGGAGCCCATTACTTCTGAACAAATTTTAGCCTTTCCCATTATGTGACTTCTCTTATCGGAGTGAGTATTATACGTAAGATGCATTTTAGTTCATCAATATAGCACTACATGAACTTGTTTATTCAATGGTGGAACGTAGTATACATATTGTGCTACCAAGGTTACATGAATCCTGCATCTGTTTTTGTAAGTGATGATAACTGGGCAAGGAAAAAGTATTCACCTGCTTATGAACTTTGTGCAGTATGCTTTACTTTTTTCTGTGAAGTTATTGTCAAAACTGTTTGAAAGAACTGATGTAGAACTTCTGCTTAAGGTCTTTGAGCTCTTCTCAACTGACTTTGGCATTGGTAATTACAATTGACAAGTTATATACTTCCAAAGTTATTATATTCTCATATTCTTATATGAGGACGATATTTGTTGTTTTTATTTTGTGCTTGGACATGCATTAAAGAGCTTATGTACTTACAATTCTTCAGGATATACTTTTGGAAAGAAGCTCTGCTATTCTGAATTATTTTTTGTGGTTGTAGTTGAATTGGTAATTTTACTGCTTTATTTCAGGCCTTTTCGTTCATAAGTGTTTGTGGATGTGTAGGTTTCCATGAACATATCTTTTTTTATCTGTTGAGTGGAAATGTAATTAGAATAACTGACAAATGGAATGCAATGATATAACAGGTTATACACTTAAAAGAATCAAAACATACTTTTATGTGCTTATGAGACCTTGGAATGTGTACGATCATCTTATCAAATTTTAGTAGTCATAACGGGTGTTTGCAGTAATTGGTATGCCATATGCTAATAGGAAAGGATCCCACAAAGGCTTAGTTATTGTAAAATTCGGTTCTTGAAAGAAATGTATTAATATAAACTAACATGTTTGCAAGGAAACTTAATGACACTGTCTCAATTTGTCTGCCCACAGCTCTGAACACCAGAGGTCTGGATAAGTTTCTGAATTCAATTGGAAAACCACCCACCTATGTGGATCTGGAGGTAAGGTTAAGTTTAGTTGTTTGAAAGAATATTCTGCCAACTGGAATGGTAATTTGACATAAGCGTTTTATTTTGTAGGCTAACCCACCAGTTGGGAAGGACCAACCCCCAGATCTTGCTGATTTGGTTCCTTCTGATGTCACCACATTGTCCGATAAACTGGAGGTAGTGTCAGTAGATACTGAAAAGAAGAACCGTGTTTCTGCGGATGTAAAATCAGAAGTTAAAGGTACTATAATTTCAGTATTTCATTCTTTTCATAATCTGGAATTTGATATTTTTACCGGTGACAGACTCATCACTTGGTTCAATGAATAGTTATGTTCTCTTATGCATGAAATTATCAACATTTCATTTTTTTGGCACAATTCCTGTCTCTTTAATCAGAAACCACGTAGTTACATGGTGATTTTGTTGGTTTTTAAGTTACTATAAGTATCAGGAATCTGTCACTTTGATACTAATATAATGTGGATAGTTCTTGCCATATGTCATCCTTTTCTTTTGTATGCATGAAGGTTGATGAGAATTGTGGTTACCGTAGCTGATGAGAAGTAGGATATAATGGATTGCCTTTGTGGTGTGGACTTTTACTAATTGCCTCAAGCTTCCTTAGGTTATTTACTTCCAGTGTCGCAAGTGGCAAGATTAAACCTAAACATGAGGAAGAAAACAGTTATGTTTTGCAAGGATACATTCAATCCTCATGTTTCGTACTCCCAGCTAAACTACATTTAACATGCATGTCCAAAGCATTGTAGGAAAAACAACCTTGATAGCTTTAAAAAGAAAGTGTTCAAATGAACTTTATAACTAATAAATGTGTGGTCATTAGAGGAATATGAATTTGAAAACAGAGATGTTTTTTCACTGCATGAAATGTATCTCATTGTGTTTCTGAAAGTTGAAGGTACTGAAAGACATTAAAGTCTATTGGTGTCCTTGTCGCGTCTTTTTTTCTTTTCTTCTTTTTCTTTGAACTCTCTATTAAGGCCAGTTTATCCTTCAAAGTGAAAGTTTATATGCTTTCTAAGTTGATAGTGCCTGAGGGAGGTTGGGAAGGCATGTCCTTAGATGTTATGATGGGAAGGCATGTGCTTGGAGGATGATTTTCTAGTTGTTAAAATCCTTAGCTACTGAGAAAATTTCTTTTCTGCGGTTGACCAATTCCACCTCAAGGACATCAGACAGTATGGAGAAATACTTGTTTCTTGAGCTGCAGAATTTCTTATAAGGTTGTCAGTCTCTTTGGGTAAAAATAACCTCTATAAATATTCTTTATACCGATAAAACTTTTTGATCTAGTAATTGTCACATATCAGGGTTAGAGATGTTACAATGTATCTATGTGGTTCACTAAAAAGTAAAAGTAGAAGTATCTTGGTATTAGCCTCATTTTTCTATCTGATACTGCCAAGCAGGAAATCAAGAATACATTATTGTTTATGATATTGATTGACTTAAGTTTGTGTTGTTGCAGCAAAAACTGAGAAGGCATCCAAGAGTTCGAAAAAACAAAATGCCAGTATGGAATCACAAACTACCTTTGCCGATCCTGGCAAATTTGTTCAAGAAATCTTAGAGCAGATGTCACATGTGGTTCTTTCTGAGGTAAGGAGAATCCTGCCATTGTATGTTAATGTTATCCGTTGGTTTAACGGTCCATCTGATGAATGATGATTACAGATTAATGATGAGAAGAATATCAACAAACACGGGGATCAACTTGGTTCTGTAGTTTCAAACAGTATCAAGAGGCGCCTTACAGCGGAATTAACAAATAATGCTGTGAGGACTTCTTTCGTTTTTTATATTTATCTCTGTTTCTTGTTCCCGAAGTTTTAGTGAAATTACCACAAGTTAGGTTTATGATTGCATTATTCAACTATAACTTCGAAAGTCCAAGAATTAACGTAATACTTCTGAGGTAATTACCATCATTTGTCTTCCTGTGATGCTGGCAATAGATATCCAATGAGATAATATCCTGGTAGTCAGCTTTATAGTAAATCCTAGCCTCACATGGAAGCAAATGTTTCCATAACAGTAGAAATATCTAGGAAACAGTTCATTGCTCTTCTTGAACAATGTAATGGCATATATCGGTAAGGGATGTCCACTGCAGTAATGAATTTTCTGGCCTCTGGAGCAAACAATAACTTTTTGATACTCAGAAAAGATTGTAGCCTGTAGTGGCTTCCTGTAATTTTGTTCCTTGATTATGAAAAACTGGGTATTTTTTTATGGTTGCTTTATGGTCGTTAATATTCTTTGATTTGCAATATTCTTCTGTCCCCAAATGATTGTCCAGTTTCGATTTTCATTTTTAATACAAAGAGTACTAAAAGTGATAATCCAAATAGGGCAATCATTTTGGGGCAGAGTGTGTAAAACTTGAGCCTTGTATGGTTCTCATAATTTTGTGTTCTTTTTTGTTTAGTCTTCACCGCAGTTTCTTATATTTCCTATGTAGGTTTTTACATTCTGATTATCAATTTACGTAATGATGTGTACTGGCTGTGTCTTGAGAACATCAAGAGGGTCATTTCCCTGTTTGTTTCTTGTCATTCATATCTGTCTACTAACTGGAATGGTTTCTCTGTTGCAGACAATGTTCAAGAACACTGCATACACAGAAGGCTTTGACGCTGGCATTGAGAGTATAAAATATCGGATCCGACACCTTTGATCGATGGATCCTATTAGATCATTTTGGGAGATCGTCATTTCGGTAGAGTGTTAGCCCCCGCACCCCCTCTTCATTGTCCGGCATTCTACTACTAACCTTTTTTGGGTATTTACTGAATGATTGCTGCAGTTGATATTGGGTGAGATGTTCTGTTGAATCATCTATTCGACTTCTACTTCATTACAGCATTTATATTTGGTTTCTGACTATTTGGTCTTATAAGTTTTACTAGTGCCACTGCCAAAACCCTCTCCGCGAGCTTCCTCTGTCCCGTAATAACTGTTGCTCTCTTACTCACTTTATTTTTTTCGGTTTCTAATATTACCTGAGCAGCAAAGTTGTATGGATCACTGTACTGAAATAAAAATATGAATGAAAATGGCAACGATTAGCTCATTTCATGTATTGCATATGCGAACTCATAAAAACTTGCATTTTTGTTTATAGGATAGTATTATTACTTCCTTACCGTTTGGAAATAAGAATTCCGTACTTTTCTAATTAGGCAGGCTAAAATGTAATCACATTGCATGCTCTCCTCTTAGGTAGAAGGCCTCATTAGAATAATATATACTTCAATAGAATAAAACAGAGAATGGGTCTATCTAGCTATTACTCCCTCCGCTACTTATTATAAGGTATTTTAATTTCGTCTTAAGTTTAACTTAAGATGTCTTTTTAACCGAAAAAAAAACTTTAAAAATATTTTCACATTCGTCGTGTTCTCCTAATTACTATGAAATGTTTTTAAAGTTTTTATTTCGATTAAAAAGACATCATAGGTTAAATCTATGAAGAAATCAAAATGCTTTATAATAAGGATCGGAGGGAGTATAAGAAGAGCTGGCAACTTGATAAGCAAAAGCTCCCCATAATAACATAATCTCTTTACAAATTAGGAGCTACAAGTAGCCAAATCCGCGATAATTATACACATTAATCATTGTAACATTCTCGTTAACCAGCCTAGCTACCTTCTCCCCGTTCCCCTATTCATGTTGTTGTTAGGAGTTGTTATTTCAGACTCCGAAAGATCCTTATGGAAGGTGCTTTCTAGCTCTTCCTTCACTAGTAAACCCTTTGGCTTCTTCTCCATGGGAACACTAAAAAGGTCGGCGCAGCCATAATTCTTCATACCTTCGTTCAACCTCTCATCATATATTAGTACATCATCTTCACCCGTCCAGCGCGATATGTCATCCGGCTGCATTCTCATCACTGTACTCCTCCTAAGAGATGGATCTTTGGAAGATCCAACTATCATTCTGTCCTCATTGATGGTAGAGGGAATAACGAGCGTGCGATTAGGGTTTGCGTAATTAGGGTCGGTGCAAGCAAAGGCCGTGACTTTGCCAAGTCTAGATTTCATATCTCTAGCTTGTGCCCTTAAGAAGTCAATCTTCCTCAACAATTCATTCAAACGATCATCTTCGACGCCGGAACCCAGCCACGATCTTTGATGATGATCAATAACCCTACCTTTGCCCTTCAACTCCTCATCAAAATAATTACCATCAGCTTGCTGATTCTTCTTGATGCACTCGAAATAAGAAAAAACGGGATGGTTAGCGAAATAAGAAGCCGGATCCACCGTGTCTTCTACCCTTCTCCTCTTTTTCCTCTCCATCAAAACTTCAAAACCTTCTTCCGCGGGTTTCCTTCTGTTAAGATCAGCGAGTTTCGTGTCGTATTCCTTAGCCAGGTTTTGCAACTTCCTGAACTGTAAATCAGCCCATTTACAACGCCACGCCACCGGGCGAATGTAGGCATTCCAACGACGACTAGTTGGTTTTTTCTCCGGTTTTCTCAGCACCTCGGAAAATTCATTAACATCAAGCATCGGCCGCGAAGAAGGATCATCATCACTGAATTGTGATTCATCAGAAGCTGCATCACCAAAAGAACTCGAACCTGAACTCTCAGTTTTGTCATCTTTTTGTTCCGTGTCCTGGTTCTCTTCTGGAAAGATAAACTGATCTATGGATTTATCATCATCGTTGATTCCGCAACTATTGCTTCCAGGTTTCGTGATGATCTTATCGTTGTTATTAATATCTACTGAAAGAACTCCTCCTCCTTTTACATCGATGACTTTATTTCCATCTTTCCTTGCTTCAAGCCCTAACACCAGATCCATGGTTCCTTTTCTTCAGATGATTCTCAGAGAGTAATTACTTTTTCTTTTTTTTTTTAGGGGTTAGGGCTATGCAAGTTTCTGATCGGAATAAATTTAATTTCATCAAACAGATTAATAATATATAAGAGGCGATGGCTTTAACTCCAAGCAATCCGGCCCATTTTCTGTTGGGCCTCCAACACACTTCTTCTTTTCTTGTTAAGTGTTGCAGATAGCCCAAATCTTATTTTCTTTCTTACTAACAGAAAAAATAATATGATTATTTTTTTTTTCAGTTTATAAAAAGTATACTGCTAAAATCCTTCTGTCCGAACAAATTGGAACTATGATTTTGTCGTAATGTCAACATAGTATTCCCTCCGGTCCTTAATATGAGGTATTTTTTATTTGTCTTAGATTTAGCCTAGTATATATTTTTAATTGGCAAAAAAACCTTAAAAATATATTTTTTAAGGGATTTTTCTCAATTATAAAAATGCATATTAGATAAAACCTAAGACAAAATCAAAATACCTTATATTAACGACCGGAGTGAGTATATTGGTAAGTATATGAATGCAATTTCTAGAGATCCAGTAATGGAATCTCATTTGAGAACTAGATGAGAGTTTTTGAGTTCAAAAGTGATACTTTTTTCAACAAAAAATAATTTTTTCAAGGACATGAAAAGTATTTCCTTTCTGATTTTTTGAAAATCCTTTCATCTTTTCCATTGAATTGGTTTTTAAATTTTTTGTGATCCTTCCACCATTTTTAATCCTTTGATTAATTCCAGTTTCTTAACTCATGAAGGTAGCAACCTTTTCCTATCTTTTGTTTGTTGTGAGTAGTGTTTAACTAAAGTTTCATATTCATGGTAAAAATATTTGATTATTTTAAGAATTTTTATGAAAAATTTAGCATCGAACAAAGAGATGTCATATCAACAACTTTCATAGTACTTTTATTTTCAGAGAAGCCCTAAATTATATTTTTTATTCAGGCCATAATATAAAGCAAAAGATCCTCGATGATTTTTTGTATTATATTCAGTGTGATACTAGTAAAATGGTTGAAATGTGTTAATTATTTATTCAAGTGAGGTTCACTTCTCATTTGATTAGGGTGATGGCAATAATAATAATGACATGTATAAATTATTTAACTAGTGCTACAACAAGAACATATCACAAAAGACTAGGTGCCACAAATACCGCCTCTAATCAAGAATTAACCGTTCCCAAAATTAACTCGATCGTATATACATTGACATATTTTAATTCCATAATAAACACTCACTCGAGTTTAAAAAATACTACAATCTTACAAATTACATTATCAAGTATTTAATTCCATGTTCAATTCTAAATCTGGGTATTGTAGAGTATTTTCATGCCGCTAACCTAATGGCACATCTTATAACAATGCATGTGATGGCAGTCAATCTGTTTGTTACATGTACTATCGAAATTATCATTGGCAATACTTGCAAGATTTATGTCATTGGATTAATTCCCGTTGTTGATTTGTACATGGATTGTAGATATTTCAATAGGATTTAGTTGTAGCAAAAGAAAAAAAAAAAATTGCTAAGAGGTTAATAAAATCAAGGGGAAACCCAAACCACGTTAATAAAATCATATATAGGATTTCAGCGAAAAATCACATGTTTGGGTATTCCAACCATACTATCCGCAAAAAATAAAAAATAAAAAAAATTAATCTCTTCGTTCCACAAAAATAATCCAGTTTTGAAATGTGTAATTTTTTTTTTAATTTAATCAACTTTAACAGAGTCCATCAAATTTCCAATAATGTCCCCGCAAATTTTTAAACCCCAACAACCCAAAAACCACAAACCCAGAAGTTTCGGAATTTTTTTACTTTCCCTTCTTTAACCGAAAAATATAAATTGCGATTGGGTTACCAAGTAAACTGGATTATTTCTTTGAGACGAATGGAGCATTTGGAGATACTTTTTTCGTCTTTTGAATAATAATCCGATTTCCATTTCAACATGCTCTTACTATTTAATTAAAAATAAATTAACAAAACTAAGAATATATATAGTAAATGGAAAAATGGCAACGAATGCAACAATATTTACGCGTTCTACCAATGCAATACTTATTATTTGTAAATACAACAGCTACCTAAAACCGCATAAACCTTTAACTTTAACAAAAATCACAATTTCACTAGAAAATGTCAAATTCTAGGATAAAACATTGTCGCTTAAAAGCTTTGTAAATCAGTTATACAGACATCATATAAATTCCCAAAGCCGCTAGCTGCGTGATGCAAAAGCTTTAGTAGTTGGAAGCAGCATCACTTTCATTGAATTATAAGGGAACAATTTTCGTTCCTCACTTTTTTCTTCACTTTAAATTCATTGGGTAAACATCATTTTCCACCACGCATTCTGTTCTACTTCTAACTTTATGTTGTTTGCAATTGGTGAAGAAAAAGAAATTCATAAAATACATGTTTATGACCAACACAAGAAAACCGCTACTACTAATTTGGTCATCTCTCCATGTGTCCATGTGGACACATTAATGTTTTGCCCACAAGTTTTCAACAAAATGTGTTTTTTTTTTTTTTGTTGTTGGAGCTTATTGGTGAGGAATGAGTTGGAGGAGGTTGATGGATGCCAATTTTAAGGTGGTTTGCGTTTGCAGCATTGCATTTATTATTATTATTATTATTATTATTATTTTTTTTTTTTTTTTTTTTTTTTTTGAACAGGATATCTTGCATTTATTGTGACAGTATGGAATTGCAGTCATTCTACTGTTGAATATTATAGGCATGTCCACATGACATGAGTGCTTGTCCGAAATCCATGTGTTACAATCTCAATATTGATTCTTTGAATTTTTTATTAAGGTAGTTTAGAGGCAAAAGCAATATTTTACTAGATAAAAATGATCAATAAAGCACTACACTATGAATAATTAGTTCAATTATTATTATTATTATTATTATTTTTTTTTAGGGGTAAGGAAGAGCTTGGTGCTTATAGTTGTTTGTATAGCAATTGAGCTCTTGATCACTGACCACCCTTCAACGTCTTGGTTGACCAGTAATTTGTTCTGATACTTGTCAGATTACCCAAATGAAGAGCAAACAAATTTGTAGATGAGTGACTTGCACATTTGGTCCAAAAATTTGGTCATGTGACAATTTCGATCCTTTTATGTTCAAATGTTGAGCGCAAATCAGTGTAAAACAAAAATAAAAAATTTAAAAATAATAATAAAAAAGAAAAACAAAGCCTTTTTTAGGCCCCTAAGTTTATTAGGATTAAGTCTTGGTTTGGTATTATGACATCATTCACAACCCTTCTGTGCAGCAGTCAAATTGCTCTTTAAATTGTAGATACTTTTGTCACAGATGATTTTGTTAGAAAATGCTTTTTCTTTTGGAAGTTTTTCACTATAATACTTCTGATTCAGTAACAAATTTGGCATAGGATAAATATACAGTTCATATCAAAAACAAAATATTTGGATCACCTATGAGGGTCTTAGTTTATGTTTAACAAGCTTCAGATAATGGAGAGAGTAGAAAAGTTTGATGATTCTATCAACAGAGCCTGTGCGTTTTGTGATAGGCAACTAATCAGTAGAGGTTCAAAACCATTTATCTTTTGAAAGCTTGTTCACTGAGAATATCACCATTGCTATATATGATGAGCAAAAGTAATGAATATCGCGAGATCATATTTTCAAAATCATTACAAATTTATAAGTTTTTATACTACAATGTACAAAGCCTAATCAATGCCTTCGTTTTTTTTTTTCCAACAATCAATGCCTTCTCATTATTTTCTTATATTCATCACTAATAGTAGCGTGATTAATTATTTGATTGATTTGATCGCACCTTGATAAGTAAGAAAGTTGACCAACATATGTAAGGTTACTTTATGATTAGAACAAGATACTATAAAATAATCGATATTCGTTAGAGTGCGAATCCACCACAACTATTTTGATTTCCTTGTCATTTATATTTTACATTTAATCGGTGATTACTTTCATGGATATCCTCCCTCTCTTCCTTTCTCTATCTCACTCTTTTTTTCTTTTTTTTTTTTCTTTAAGAACAGAAAACAAACTAGAATTTATTAGCGCCATTGAATAGTTCCAACCTAAAACCGGGTCACTTTAAATTTTTCTACTTGCATAACTTTAGAAACTAATACATCACACTTGCATAATTTTTCTTGTTGCATAATTTATTTCTTTTTGCGTTGGTTTGGTTGTTTTTTCTCATTCTGAGAATCTACCATGTGTAGCTGTCAAAGTATATCTTTGTTACTTATGTATAGAGTGATGAATATACTTTAACATTCTTGCTCAAGTTTAATGGGTCTTTGAACTTTTTACCTAATGGACTTGGATCGGGACAAGAACAGAATAGCCCACAAGTCAATGCTCAATTGGGAGAAAGCCAGTTATACGGTTGGATCGGTTCACAATAAGCCCACGAATTAATGTTCTAATGGAAAAAAACCAGTTATACCACTGGATCGGTTCATAACAAGCCCACGAGTCAACGCTCAATTGGGTTAATATAAAATCACCACAGATTACCTTCAGCCTAGAACTCCACCACTGGCCCAGCACGCTCTGACACTATGTCAAAGTATATAAATACTTTGGATTCTCATCTCAAAACTAATTGACAATGACGGTGGCAATATGGGACAGATAATACATTCTAACAGTAGATCTGGAACCCACAGAAAGAGAAACATCATAATATGACTATATTGAATTTAAATAATATCATAAAATTATTATCAAAATAGAATATAAGACTATTACTTATTAGCCGATCCAGTAATTAATTGTATGTTATTCAAAAAGTATACCGTATTACTCCTTTTAATATCTTAATCGCATCATATAACATTTTAAATACAGTTATTTGGTTTAGAATATCTCTTAAACATATACATATTGGTAAGTTATATATCTGTAAACAAGCTGGATTTTTAATAATTATTACTA